GTGCTCCCCCTCCCCCAAAGCACCTTGTCCCCATGTTGATGGGGACAAGGGCCTCTTCCCACAACCCTGGCCGGTGGTTGTGGGGGTCTGTGGGTGGGGGGCTTATCGAAATCTGGATCCCAGCTCCCCCCCCATGTGAATGAGTATGGGATACATGGTACCACTACTCATTCACAAAAAAAAATGTGTAGTGTGAAAAAAGACAGGAGACAGCCTTTGACGAGTCCTGTAGTAAAAGAAGAAAACTAAAAGAATGTCCCCCAAAGTAGAGCCAACGTCAATTATGATTACCGCCGCTATCCGAAAAAAGTAAAAAAAAAACAGGCTCCGCTCCCGACACTGGCTCCCGGCCGTCTGCCTGCTCTGCTGGCTCGACAGTTCTTAAATATATAAGGGACGCGGCCACCCGGGGACATCACAAACATCTCCGCTCCCGACACTGGCTCCCGGCCGTCTGCCTGCTCTGCTGGCTCGACAGTTCTTAAATATATAAGGGACGCGGCCACCCGGGGACATCACGTTTGTGACCCTGCCCCTTGTGGCGTCATCAACTGAGGCATGCTGGGTCAATGATGTCACAAGGAGGTGGGACCACACACCTCCTTGTGACATATTTAAGGAATATTACATATTTGAGGGCATGTGGCCTGGTATGGTTCAGGGGGGGGGAGGGAGCGCTCGCTGGTCCCCCCCCCCTTTCCTGAGCTGCATGCTCGGATAAGGGTCTGGTATGGATCTTGGGGGGGACCCCACACCATTTTTTCTTAATTTTGGCGTGGGGGTTCCCCTCAAAACCCATACCAGACCTGAAGGGCTTGGTATGGATGGAGGGGGACCCCACGACGTTGTTTTATTATTTTTTAAATTACTTTGAGTGCCCTTTTATATGCAGCTGAGCTGCAATATGTAGGTGGGGTAGTGTGGCTTTAGTGTAGGCAGAGACACAGGGGGCCCCATTATCTCATTGCCCGGGGGCCCCACGAGTTGTCAGTCCACCCCTAGGGCTGACATAGCATTTCTGTGAACTGAAATGGCAAGATTTGGTGTAAGCCCTGCCCAGCTCTCCATTGTTCAAGCCCTGAGTCCCTCCTGTTCTCTTCACCCCCACAGCATAGAGACTAAGGCTGGCCACAGGCGGCTCAAACTTCCGCAATGGGTGACCAATCGGCACCAAGCTGGACAAAATTTAACTGAAAAATGACTGGCCGAGCAGTTCCTGCATCCTTTCACCAGCGGCACCCAAAATACAATAGCCTACGGTGGAGGTTCCTCCTTCCATTCAGGGGGTCCTATATGGCCAGTTTTAGGCTCCGTTCACAGCAATGCATTTTTTTAGTGCTTTTTGCAGAAACGCACTACAGTCCATTTAACCTGGTTTCCTATGGAACATGTTCACATCAATGCTTTTTTGAGCCGCTGCGTGCGTTTTTGGAAAGGGTCAGGGACTTTTTTAAAGCGTTTTTGCTACAATAGATTTTATTGGAGAATCTGCTGAAATGCATGGTAGTGGGTTTTTGACGCATTTTGCGATTTTCAAAAGGAGTTGAGCAAAACGCTGTAAAAATGCGTGTAAGAAAAACGCAAAACAAACTGCAAACTGCACCGGAGAAAGCATCAAACGCAAAATGCATATATGTGAACGGAGCCTTAAGCGGCATTAGACCCAAAACTAGAAATGTAATATATTGCAGCTTACCAATCATTACATGTGGTGGCTGCATTTTTTTTTTTTTTTTTTAGGCTTTCCCTTCCCCCCTCTATTTTCACCTGGTGATCTCTCCAGTAACACACCTCCTGTATTAGAGCGCCCCCACTCTGTGTACAGAAGCAATAGAGACACTTCTGGACAGCAGCAGAGCTTTCATTCAGTGGGAATGCGGTGGTATGAAGTTCCGGCACCTCCATTACATACAGTCAGGTCCATAAATATTGGGACATCGACACAATTCTAACATTTTTGGCTCTATACACCACCACAATGGATTTGAAATGAAACGAACAAGATGTACTTTAACTGCAGACTGTCAGCTTTAATTTGATGTGGTATTTACATCCAAATCAGATGAACGGTGTAGGAATTACAACAGTTTGAATATGTGCCTCCCACTTGTTAAGGGACCAAAAGTAATGGGACAATTGGCTTCTCAGCTGTTCCATGGCCAGGTGTGTTATTCCCTCATTATCCCAATTACAATGAGCAGATAAAAGGTCCAGAGTTCATTTCAAGTGTGCTATTTGCATTTGGAATCTGTTGCTGTCAACTCTCAAGATGAGATCCAAAGAGCTGTCACTATCAGTGAAGCAAGCCATCATTAGGCTGAAAAAAACAAAACAAACCCATCAGAGAGATAGCAAAAACATTAGGCGTGGCCAAAACAACTGTTTGGAACATTCTTAAAAAGAAGGAACGCACCGGTGAGCTCAGCAACACCAAAACACCCGGAAGACCACGGAAAACAACTGTGGTGGATGGCCGAAGAATTCTTTCCTTGGTGAAGAAAACACCCTTCACAACAGTTGGCCAGATCAAGAACACTCTCCAGGAGGTAGGCGTATGTGTGTCAAAGTCAACAATCAAGAGAAGACTTCACCAGCGTGAATACAGAGGGTTCACCACAAGATGGAAACCATTGGTGAGCCTCAGAAACAGGAAGGCCAGATTAGAGTTTGCCAAACGACATGTAAAAAAGCCTTCACAGTTCTGGAACAACATCCTATGGACAGATGAGACCAAGATCAACTTGTACCAGAGTGATGGGAAGAGAAGAGTATGGAGAAGGAAAGGAACTGCTCATGATCCTAAGCATACCACCTCATCAGTGAAGCATGGTGGTGGTAGTGTCATGGCGTGGGCATGTATGGCTGCCAATGGAGCTGGTTCTCTTGTATTTATTGATGAATAAAGCAAGCAATGAGCAACCAAAGAGTTTTTGAAGGGAAAGAAGTGGAATGTTATGCAATGGCCAAGTCAATCACCTGACCTGAATCTGATTGAGCATGCATTTCACTTGCTGAAGACAAAACTGAAGGGAAAATGCCCCAAGAACAAGCAGGAACTGAAGACAGTTGCAGTAGAGGCCAGGCAGAGCATCACCAGGGATGAAGCCCAGCGTCTGGTGATGTCTATGCGTTCCAGACTTCAGGCTGTAATTGACTGCAAAGGATTTGCAACCAAGTATTAAAAAGTGAAAGTTTGATTTATGATTATTATTCTGTCCCATTACTTTTGGTCCCTTAACAAGTGGGAGGCACATATGCAAACTGTTGTAATTCCTACACCGTTCACCTGATTTGGATGTAAATACCCTCAAATTAAAGCTGACAGTCTGCAGTTAAAGCACATCTTGTTCGTTTCATTTCAAATCCATTGTGGTGGTGTATAGAACTAAAAATGTTAGAATTGTGTCGATGTCCCAATATTTATGGACCTGACTGTATATTCCATTGAATATATGTAATGACAAGGGATGCTGGGAAAATGGAGGGGGTATATTGTTGTTGGCTGTTGAGGGATCTGTTGTTGCAGGGGTAGGTCTGTTGTACTTGGTTGGGGGTTGTTGCTGGTGGGGGATCTATTGTTACTGGAAGGGGGTATTATGTTGCTATGGGAACATTAGTTGCTGGGAGTAATCTGTTGAGGGAGGGTTCTATTGTTGCTGGCTGCTGGGGGATCTATTGTGGCCAGGGAGGGGTTATTGTTGTGGGGGAAGGGGTCTATTGTTGCTGGTGGGGGATCTATTGTTACTGGAAGGGTGGGTATTATGTTGCTGGGGGGACAAAAGTTGCTGGGAGTAATCTACTGCTGAGGGAGGGGTCTATTGTTGCTGGCTGCTGGGGGATTGCTCTATTGTTGCAGGGGCAGGATTAATGTTGTGGGGGAAAGGGTCTATTGTTGCTGGGGGATATTTTGTTACTGGAAGGGAGATCTTATGGTTCTATGTGGACAATAGTTGCTGGGAGTAATCCACTGTTATGGGAGGAGTCTATTGTTGCTGGCTACGGGGGATCTATTGTTGCAGGGGAAGTGTTATTGTTGCAAGTGGGGGATCTATTGTTACTGCAAGGGGGCCTATTATGTTGTTTTGGGGATAATATTTGCTGTGAGTAATCTACTACTAAGAGAGGGGTCTACTGTTTATGGCTGCTGGAGGATCTATTGTTGCAGGGCGGGTTTATTGTTGTGGGGGAGGTCTATTGTTGCTGGTGGGGAATATATTGTTACTGGAAGGGGGTCTTATGTTGCTGGGGGGTCTATAGTTTCTGGGGGTAATCTACTGTTGAGGGAGGGGTCTATTGTTTCTGGCTGTTATGGGATCTATTGTTGCAGGGAGGGTTTACTGCTGTGAGTGGGAAGAGGTCTATTCTTGCTGGTGGGGTATCTGTTGTTACTGGAAGGGGTCTTATGTTGATGGGAGGGGTCAATAGTTGCTGGGAATAATCTACTGTTAAGGGAGGAGTCTACTGATGCTGGCTGTTAGGAAATCTATTGTTGCTGTTGGGGATCTATTGCTGGTGGGGGGATATTTTGTTGTAGGGGTCTATTGTTGCTGGTGAAAAGATCTATTAATGCTCTATTGTTGCAGTCTGCAGGGCATCTATTTTACCACGATTAGCACCACAAAATATACTTGATTCTATATTCTCTAAAAGAGGAACAACATCCCTTGTGATAGCATGGGCCATGACAGGTCCTCTTTTTGCAGAGATCTTGGGTCTATTAGACCTCATATCTCTCCTCTGGCCTTGAAAGCACCAGCTCAAACCAAGAACTGTTTGATCTGATTCTTGTACAAGCCAGAAATGGCTTGTTTACATTTAACAGAAACCAGAAGTGACAAAATACTTGTCACTTCCGGTTTCTTAGATCATAGGGATGATTGGTTGTTGCTTCTTTCTTACTCCAGTTGTTGAATATCAGTTACAGAATTTTGAAGTTTCTTTGTATCCCGCATAAATTCTGTAAATTTTTTTCACCAATATGTATATGATGATTAGCTGCGATGCAGAAGAGGAAGAGTTACAGCAGTATCCATGAGGCGGTGAGGTGCGGAGATGTGGAGCAGTTGGAGATGATTGTGAAAAGCGGGACGCGAGTTAATGAGGTGGATCCAGTCCACAAATTTACACCCCTGCACTGGGCAGCACACTCCGGGAGCCTGGAGGTAAGAGGGGTCCTAGATCTGGGTTATGAAATGAGATCTACAAATCGTGTTCTACAACCATCTGAGTTCCTACCTTGAAAAAGAAAAATGAGGGAGGGAAACAACACCATCCCTCAAAAATTGGAGACTTTTGAGGCACATCATCTATATAAAATCAATAATTTATTTCATATCAATATGCACCACATATATTGTAACATTTATATTCCTATCCAACAACATTGTATTCATACAGAAAATTAAAAAGTTGAAATCAAAAATATTGCTTCACAGATAGTCCAATCCTTTAGGCTCAAAGCGTTTCATGGACTTGATCCACTTCTTCAGGAGTCATCACAATATATATTCATAAAATAATGATCTTGGGGTGATAACCAGCCAAAGACACTCAATTCTAGAGATATTTATATTCCTTCAGATTTTGTTGATGGTCAAAACAGAACCCCAAAGGACCGACATTTGCATTTAATAAGAATTACATCTTCACATGGAGCATATTCCTCAAAAAATACAAAGGTCCAGCTCCATATCTTGCAGCAAAAACTCATAAATAACCGTCAGGATAAAGTCTTGGACAGGACTTGGATACCCTCTTTAAAAACAAGCAAAACTCCCCTCAACTCCAAAGAACCTGAATGCAGTCCATAAAGTTCCAGCTCATGGTTACAAGTACGATCAAAAGCAGCTCAGCGTGGTCAGATTCAATAATACTATCCTCCACAGCAATGCAGTTCCTACCTTTCTGGCAACAACTTTCTAGACCCCTTACAATCTGGTTTTTTTACTCACAGCACTCCACAGAAACTGCCCTACTAAAATTAACTAACAATTTACTAACTGCTAAAACCAATGACCTCTACTCCATAGTCTTACCACTAGACCTTTCTGCTGCCTTTGATACTGTTGACCACCCGCTCCTCCTCAATAGTGCCACTCCAAGATTCTGCTTTTTCCCGGTTCTCCTACTACCTATCAGAATGCTCCTTCTGTGTTACCTATAACTCTGTCTGCTCCTCTCCACTTTCTCTTTCTGTAGGGGTCCCCCAAGGCTCTGTCCTTGGACCCCTTCTTTTCTTTTATCTACACCTCATCTTTTGGTCACCTCATCTTTTGGTTAATAACCTCCCATGACTTCCAATACCATCTGCATGCTGATGACACCCAAATCTATCTCTACCCACTCTTTCAATCTCCTCTCACATTACTAATTTACGAATTGATATATCAATATGGATGTCTTACCACTTCCTCAAACTCAAGTCTTTCTAAAACCGACCTCATATTATTCTCCCCTTGTGCCCTCCTCCATGACTTTTACTTCAAGATAATAATACAATCATCCATCTCTCCCTTCTTGCCAGGGTAGAAGGTGTAATCCTGGGCTCTGACCTATCCTTTCAGCCACTAATACAATCACTGCCCAAATCTTGTAGACTTCACCTCCATAACATCTCTAAATTTAGCCCCTTTTTAACCAGTGGAACCACCAAACTACTTTTTCACTCCCTTGTTATCTCTCCCCTTGACTACTGCAACTCCCTTCTCATTGGCCCACCTCTACACGTTATCCCCTCTTCAGTCTATTATGAATGCTGCTGCCAGACTCGTCTACCTTACCAACTCAGTGTCTGCCACTCCTCTCTGCCAATCCCTTCACTGGCTTCCGATTGCCCAACAAATTAATTTCAAAACACTAACAACAACATACAAAGCCATTCATATCTCTGCCCTGAACTACATCACTAATCTTGTCTCCAAATATCACCCAAACCAACCTCTCCGCTCCTTCAAAGACCTTTTGCTCTCTAGCTCTCTTGTCTCCTCCTCTCATGCTCACCTTAAAGGACTTCTTCAGAGCCTCTTCCATCCTCTGGAACTTTCTATCTCCAACCTGTCCAGCTGTCTCCTACTCTGGCCACATGTAGGTGATCCCTGAAAACTTATCTCTTCGGGGAAGCCTATCCTGCCTTCAGCCAACAACTGAAATTTCAGTTCTTCCATCAGCTCATCCTTTACAGTTATTACCTTTGGTACCACTTGCCCCACCCTATTAGATTGCAAGCTCTCAAGAGCAGGGCTCTCCTAACTCTCTTGTATTGTATTATAACTGTATTGTCTCCCTTTATATTGTAAAGTGCTGCACAAACTGTTGGTGCTATATAAATCCTGTATAATAATAATTAAAAATTATAAATCTTGAATAATAATAATTAAAAATTATGCTTAAAAATGTTTCCCTCTCCCACTATAAATCTGCTCTGAATTCAGCTCTACCTTCCTTCTGTACAGAGCTGGATGGGACTCCTAAGCTGTGTTAGTTCACCTTTATCAAAGTTAAAGTGTTGGTTCACCTTTATCAAAAAACTGTCTATGCAGGTCAGGGACACCTGTAGATAAAAAAGCAAACTGTGCAGCTTTGACCAAAGTTGGATAGCACTCTTGCTAAAACTGTAGGCCATTTTCAAAACCTCTCGAAGTCTGGCTGAAAAACTCTCCGAGTTGGCGTCCCCCCATCCTGCCTTTTGCTAGGATGTTGCTAAGATGCTCCCAGCCATTACTGCTCACCCCCACCATCATAGGTGCAAACTATCTGATTCTGAGCTCAGTGTTGCTGCAACAGAGGAGATGGTACACCACACGTGTGTGGGGGTTCGAGAGCTCTCTCCTGTGATGGTGGAGGTAACCAGTAACAGCTGGGAGGATCCAAAATGAAGGGGGTGCCATCTCTGGGAGTTTTGTGACCAGGCAGGTATGTAGATGGCCTACACCTATAACAAGGCAGTTTTTGATAAAGATGAACTAACCCTTTAAATATAACTCTTATATATTCAACATAGTAAAAAAAAAAAAACCCACTAAGAGGATATAACTTTCTTCACATAAAACAGCTTTGTGGAAAAGGCATTTGACATCCCGCCAAGAGATGAGAGTAAGATTTTCAAACATACCCCTCTTAGACTCCATTCTATAAGGGGCTGGTCACTTGCAGGTAACTGCCACATAGCGATTACATGCGAGCAGCTGCGATTAGCTGCGGGAACTGGCAGACTCGCATTGCTTTCAGTGGGGCTGCCTCCCACAGCTAATCGTTGAGACCCCCCTCCACTAGAGTTCCCACAGGTGTATGCTATCAGGCAAAAATGCAGGTATAAATGTAGCCTAATATTTCCAAAAGGAAAACATTTATTGGTATGTTGGTGACGCATCTAGATCAGCTTTTCTCAACTAGGGTTCCTTTAGAGATATCTGGAGGTTCCTTGAGCAATTTCTGACTCCCAGATAAGTAATCACTGACAACAAAAGATCTTTAAGGAGGGGTCTTTACACTTGCTACCACTTACTCCCACTGACCATCACAATAATGTACTGTGGGCTGTATAGCACTTATTAGCAGGTGTTCCCTGAGACCAGAAAGTTTGTTTCATAGGTTCCTTCATGGTAAAAATTTTAAGAATGGCTGATCTAGACTTCAAAAGACATAGAGCCTCATTGGGACTTTTCAACGCATCAGACATCATCAAGGCTTTTGAAAGAAGATGTCCTATTTGTCTAATCTGACCAAAGGCATGAGGAAAACAGCATTATTGCTTTTCCCGTAGAAATTTCTCAGAACCTTCCCCATTATTAAAACTGATTGAATAATACACCGATGAACGCTGATGGTCCATGCACTCCAGTCTGAGAAGCACTGGCACATTTAGTCCCTCACGTTATATGTGCATAGGTACCCAAATGACCCTAAACGCTGCCAGAAACACACAAGTGTATGAACTTTAATTTTTTATCTCCTCACATTACAGTGCCTTCATTGGTTGCTTTGGCATGGAGCAGATATCAGTGAAGTGACAACACGAGGGTGGACTGCGGCTCATTTAGCCGCCATTAGAGGCCAAGACGCGTGCATGCAGGTATGTCATTGTGTAAGAACTGCTTGGATTTGGTCCTCAACATTCTGGGTTTGGATGCATCTTCTTTGGTAAACTAGTGAATCTCAACACTTTCTCCTGACTTTCTCTACCAGCGAGTGTCTGTCTCTTAAGTTGGGTACACAGGTATTGAAATTTGGCCAAATCAGCAGGAACTGGCCGAATTTCGATCTGCGTATAGCCCTCTCTGTTCAACAGAAGCCGACCATTAGACTAGCTTCTGTCGAACAGTTCTGCTGGAAAACCAACATTCAATCAGCTGCAGTGCTGATCAGAGTATTCTGATGGGGGGGAATTCCTAAAAACTCAGTGTGTTCCCAGCTATCGCCTCTATTTCAGTCCTGACTACTCCTGTGTCCTTATCTAAGCACTGCCTGCAGCTAGTTAAAGAAACCTGGCAGAATAAATAATAATTTTCTTGGGGAAAAATGTATTGTTTTGGTATAGAATTCTTTATTATATGTTAACTTTTACAACTCAATTAATAATTGTTTTTATTCAGAAAACTATGAAGTATTGGATATGATTGATTACTTTACATATACCAATGGTGATCACTGTGGTGTGAGACTGTTTACAGCTTTGTGTCAAAATGTAAGGTGGTTTATCTGCTTGCCACCTGCCCACAGTACATATAGGCTCCGTTCACACGAGAGCGACTCCTCAGTTGCACGTTTTTGAGTGTGACTTTGGAGTGTTACTTTCATGCAACTTTAAAATCTCTGGCACTCAAGTGATAAGAAAGTCACATCAAAGTAGTGCAGGACCTTTTTCAAAGTTGCTGCGACTTTAAAGTGTTCCTAAACCCACAACAGTAAAATCAGTCTGTATATGCAGTAAAGCATGCTTGTTATACTCACTGTGGAACTGAAGGGGTTAATCCTCTGCATTGTGTAAAAACGCTGTTTAATCCTGACTTCTCTGATCCTCCCCTTCTTCCAGTGTTCCCCTCTTATCCCCTGATAAGACATATTGTGTGGAGTCACTCTGCACATGCTCAGTTTGGTGTGTATTTCTATAGAGGTTTTTTTTTTCTCTTGGGAGAGTGCATGTGGTCAAAACAGGGCCAATCGGCACTGTCCAGACAGAGGTCAGGGGTCCTGCATCCTTCTAGAGCAGAAAGAAAACTCCTCTGACAAGCTTTACCCAATGCTCTGCTGAACACTGATAGAAGTCACAAGACTGCTATATACTGCTGATGAGAAAAGGTATTTAGCAGTTTATATTTACTAAAATAATTGCATTTCCATGTTCTGTGTACTGTGGGACACCAGATATAGTTAATGCAGGGTCCTGGGAGACCAGATATAGTGAATGCAGGGTCCGGGGAGACCAGATATAGTGAATGCAGGGTCCGTGGAGACCAGATATAGTGAATGCAGGGTCCGGGGAGACCAGATATAGTGAATGTAGGGTCCGGGGAGACCAGATATAGTGAATGCAGGGTCCTGGGAGACCAGATATAGTGAATGTAGGGTCCGGGGCGACCAGATATAGTGAATGCAGGGTCCTGGGAGAGCAGATATAGTGAATGCAGGGTCCTGGGAGACCAGATATAGTGAATGCAGGGTCTGGGGAGACTAGATATAGTGAATGCAGGGTCCGGGAAGACCAGATATAGTGAATGCAGGGTCCTGGGAGATCAGATATAGTGAATGCAGGGTCCGGGGAGATCAGATATAGTGAATGCAGGGTCCTGGGAGGATATAGGGAATGCAGGGTCCTGGGAGACCAGATATAGGGAATGCAGGGTCCTGGGGGAGATCAGATATAGTGAATGCAGGGTCCTGGGTTTAGAATACACTTTAAGTCGTATAGATTGGAGCCTGTGCCATTGAAATCAATGAGCTGCAACTTGTCACGGGTCCACAAGTCATACTAGTGTGAACTGAGCCTTAGTCTGGGTTCACATATATGCGATGTAGTATATCGCATGTGATTCACACAGGGGACCGTACCGCATTCCTGTGCAAAACACATGTGATTTGTGTGCGGTGCGACTGGAGCCATACATTTTGTATGGCTCTAACCACACCAAAAAAGCGTGAAGGACCCTTTTTTGGGTCCACACTAGAATCGGATCGCATGGGTATGCACACCTATGTGATCCGATTCTGCACTGCGTTTTGCGGACCAATTTCGGGGTGTTGGTAACTTAACATACACACCCGCAGTGGTTCGCATAAACGTGGTGCAATTCTGATGCAGTGCGGAATTCACACTGAAAACACTGCAAATTTCGCACTGCATCAGTGTGAATCAGGGCTCACTGTGGGCAGGCGGCACAGCCAGGCTGGATCACATGCATGTACTTCATCCAGCCTCTCCCGGGTTCGGGGTACACATGCACGCACCCCCTGCTTACTTGCGTTGTCACTGGCTCCAGCCCGATTTTGTCAGGAGGTCCCGGCCAATGATTTTGGCTTTGAACCTGCTGATTAGCGATTTGCAGCACAGAGTTCTGTGTTTACAAACACACAGGGCTCTGTACACAGATCAGCAATCTGGCTGTTTCTTCTCCCAGCACATATTACAGACATTACACTTGTTAGGCACACAGTTAACCCTTTGGTTGCCCCTTGATGTTAACCCCTTCCCAGCCAGTGTCATTAGTACAGTGAAAGTGTATAGTATTACAGTATATCTGATCACTGTATTAGTGTCACTGGTGAAGTTAGTGTACCTTCCAGCGAGGGTCTGTTGGTTCCAGATTGCCTGTCATACTATCACAGCCCCACTTTAAGTTGCTGATCACCGCCATTACTAGTATAGCGTCCAGTGTATATTATTATTATACAGTATTTATAAAGCGCCAATGGTTCGCTCAGCGCTGTACATTACAAAGGGGGACAGAACATGTGACAGAACAACAACAATACAATGTGATACACGAGGGGTTCGAGGGCCATGCTCTTTCTAGCTTACAATCTAGGAGGGAGGGGATGGTGGCACAGAAGGAGATAGCTGTGGGGGATGGAGTGGTAGGAAGAGTGGAGGAGGTCGGTCAAGTTAGCAGGGGGTGGGGTAGGCTTCTCTGAAGAGATGGGTTTTCAGGGTGCACCTAAAGGAGAGGAGAGTAGGTGATAATCTGATGGGTTGGGGCAGGGAGTTCCAAAGGATGGGTGACACCCTGGAGAAGTCCTATAGGCAGGCATGGGAGGAGGAGACCAGGGAACTAGAGAGAAGGAGGTCTTGTGAGGAGCGGAGTGTGCATGTTGGGCGGTACTTGGATATTCGGTCAGAGATGTAGTTCGGGGCAGTATGGTGGACAGCTTTGTACGTCAGTGTTAGGATTTTGAATTTGATCCGTTGCGCAATCGGAAGCCAGTGGAGGGATTGGCAGAGGGGGGTGGCGGAAACGGAGCGGTTGGAAAGGTGAATGAGTCTGGCAGCCGTACTCAGGATCGACTGAAGCGGGGATAGCCAGCGGTGAGGCAGGCCAGTGAGGAGGGAGTTGCAGTAGTCGAGTCGTGATATGATGAGGGAGTGGATGAGCTGTTTAGTAGTTTCTGGGGTTAGGAACGTGCGGATTTTGGCGATGTTGCGGAGGTGGAGTCTGCACGAGTTTGTTAAAGATTGGACTTGGGGCTAGAAGGATAGGTTGGAGTCCAGAATGACACCAAGTACTCTGGCCTGCGGGGTATATACCATAGTTTGTAGACGCTATAACTTTCACACAAACCAATTTTTTTTCTCCAAAGACATTTAGCAGAATACATTTTTACCTAAATTTATGAAATTGGATTGGATTTTTTTTTTACTGGATATGTTTTATAACAAAAAGTAGAAAATATAAATTTTATTTTTTTTAAAATTGTATGTCTTTTTTTCATTTATTTAATAAAAATTCAAAAACCCAGTGGTGATCAAATACCACCAAAAGAAAAATATAAATTTCATTTGGGTACAGTGTTGCATGACCGAGCAATTGCCAGTTAAAGTAGTGCAGTGCTGAATCGCAAAAAATGCCTTGGTCATGAAGGGGGTAAAACCTTCCGGAGGTCAAGTGGTTAAGAGCAGCCTGATATTTATAAGTGATGCAGCAAATGATGACATTGTTGTTATTATTATTAGCAGCGGAACTTTTATATGCAGTCCTAGTGCCTTCAGTGTTTTATATACAGTCATTTTATTTTGCAGGCTCTTGTCCTTAGTGGAGCAAACCTTTCAGCTAAAGATGACCGGCAGTGCTGCCCCACTCACCTGGCGGCTGCCCATGGCCACTCATTCACTCTACAGACCATACTGCGCAGTGGAGCGGTGAGTATTATTATTGCTGACGCTCATAATACTGTTAAAAGAGAAGTTCGGGAATAAATAAATAAATAATCGGTCTATCTGTCTGATGCTACATCTGTCCACCGCTGCTTCTAAGATAACTGAACGATCAAAGACCACCGATCGCTTGGTTCTCAGTCTTCAGTGAGTAGAGAGCCAGTCTGTTCTCTGTCCTGTAGCGCTCACTGGTGCGCCAAGCTGTGGAGGGGATGGAAGTGGCTAACTTAGGCTCTCAGTGGCTCGATGAGAGGCTGGGCCAGCTGCCGGTCTTGACATCTGGGGTGGATCTTGATAATAAAGTCGTAATCTCTCCAGAGTCTGGACCTACTTTGTGACATCAGCCAACAGCTTTAGCTTTAGCATGCTTTCGGCTGAAAAAATGGGTCAGAGGAGTGCAGAACGAACTCTTGTGCCGCATAGGAGCACACCGAAGTAGGGCCAAATTGTCCCTACTTCTCCTTTAAGTACTGTTACTCAGTGTCATTCAACCACTTGCTATGAGCCCAGGCAGTAATGGAGACACCAAAGAGAGAAAGGATACAGCTGGGGGGCGCACCGGCCTAGTGCATTATCCTCAAGGCTTCACTTTATTATTTCTATTTTTCTACCTTTTGTTGCTATGAAGAAAACAGCTGTTTGTTTGTCTGTGTCCATGGGGGAGTGAATCTGTATGGGAGTGATTTATCTGTATGGGAGTGATTTAGTATACACCAATTATCAATCAACTGCTGCACCTGCAGGGCTCTAATAAGCAAAGTGGCAGGGTCTGCATCCCCATTAGTCTATGTTCACATCTATGCGTTTTCTGCTGCGTATTGCGTTTTGCAGAAACGCACAGCAGTCTATTTAACATCCAAAATTATATATAACTGTGTCGCGCTGCACTGCCAATTAAAATATGTGATATCAAAACAAAGTACAATCCAAAACAAATTCTATGTGCAATTAAAATCGCACTATTGCAACAAAAATGTCCTTATTCAATCCGTGACTTCACACTCCTTCTGGTGATGTGACAGAAATGATTTACGTGCAATCCTCCAATAGTAAAATGTGCACCTTCACCGGCTGTGCTCTCACCTGGTATATATGACCAAACCGTTAAGTGAGGTCATACAGGGCTTGTGTGCCTTTAATTGGACTTAGAGCTGGATGGGAATGTTACTCTCCAACGTTAGTGGTCCCTTCATTTCCTTAGGACTCTTTCTCCATAAGTATATGTACCATAAAGAGTAATAAAAAACATAGTGCCTGATCTTTTTTTTAAAACATTTATTAAACAAAGTAGTGCACTCACATGTAATTAGAGTTAAAATCGCTTTAAAACGTTGTAAAATCAATCCACTGTGTGCTTTTGTAATCTGTAGCATACTTGCTGTGTGTTGCCTTTAAGCGTCGTGACGTCAGAGCCCCTCCCCTACGCGTTACGCCACCAGGTCATGTGGCTTCATCAGGGGAAAATGATGAAGTCCATTTAACATGATTTCCTATGGGACAGGTTCACATCTCCGCATTTTCACCAGGTGCGTTTTTTGGAAAGGGTCAGGGACTTTTTTAAACACAAAACGTTGCGTTTTTGGTTCTATAAATGTCAATGGAGATGATTCAGAAAAGCATGTAAAGCTTGAAATTCCATGCCACTGTCAATGCATCCACCCTCATAGCTTGTATGTGACTGATCCTGGAAAAAAAATGTGGTAGTTTGGTATTCTCCAGAGAAGCAAACAGATCTATCTCTGGAAGAAAGGCCCATGCCACTAGGCTCCAAAAAACGTGAGTTGATAGGACCCACTCATTGTTGTCCAAACTCATTCTGAATAGATAATCTGCCTGGGTATGCAAGCGACCGGGCACATACATTGCTGTTAGCAGTTGTAAGTTGGCTTGGGCCCATTCCATAATTGAAGTAACCTCCCTCAGGAGGGGTATGCTGCGGGTGCCCCCCTGTCTACTATGTTTTTGATGCGTTTTTTACGCATTTTTGATGCCTTTTGCGTTTTATTCTTCCCAGCACCAAGTTGCAAAAAAAAAAACATATCAAAAACACATGTGCAAAAAAGCAAAATGCACCGTACAAAGCACTGCAGAAACGGATCAAGTGCAAACTGCATAGGTTTGAACCTAGCCTTAGACATGATTTCCTTTTAGGGAGTATCTCACCAAAAATGAACATTTTTTTGTTGTACGGAATGCCCAAAATCTGACTTGTATCTTAGTGCAGACTTCTGGGACAAATCAGGCAGCCAATCACACAAGCTGGAAATGACATTTCTGGGGGGGGGGGGGGGTTCTGTACGCCATCTGTGTACAGAACACCTCCAGATCGCTATATTGTATTTTACAGAAAATCGCAGAGATGCAGATTGAAATGGAAAGGTCAATTTTAATCACATTCAAGTACAATATGACTTGTGTCGCAATTCTATATGCTATATAAATATTTTTTTCATTTGCGGTTTTCTTTCCCCATGAGAGTGGAGTTATTGTTTTAAGATGTGTATGTAGTACATTTCTTAGAATTAGGAGAGGGTGAAAGGAGGCCTTGGGGTGCTGGAAGTGAACTTGTGTTCGGAACTAAGTTTACATTTTGAACATTTCCTGTGTCTCCTCGCTGAAATTCTCTTTCCCTTCCTGTTAACAAATGTTGTTGTACGTTGATTGGCGCACATGTGTACATTCAAGAGCTGGTGCTGGGATGATGTAACTTCCAATGCACATGCTCAGAAGTTATGTCATCAACTGCCAACCAATGGCTGATGAAAAAAAGACTCCAGACTTGGTGGACAACCAGAAGAAGATGGCAGCGGAGGGGAAGGTTGACCCTCACAAGGGAAGGGTACAAATACGCTGTGTATGCTGTAATGCAGAAAATCATCCTGTTTCTTTTATCGATTATTTCTTTCAAACAGGATACAAGCAGTCCTGATGTGAATGGTTGGACACCGGTTCACTATGCTGCCTTCCATGGCCGACTTGGTTGTTTACAGCTTCTTGGAAGATGGGGAGCTTCTATAGAAGACACAGATCACAATGGAAACACTCCAGGTATTAACCACTTGCCATCCGCCTGTTGTTTATAAACGGCAGGGCGGTAGCACTCCAGGGGCGGGTTGCTGTTCATAAACGGCACCCGCCATTTCTAGCTGTGTGCGCTCCCTGGGAGCACGCAGCACCGCAATCCGGTGCCCGCTGTGTCCTCTAGACACAGTGAAACACCGATCGTCGGACGGGACCTCTGTATGAGGTCCCGATCATGTGATCACTGATTGGCTAATCAGTGATCACATGCAAAGTAGTAAACAAGATGTCACTTGTGACATCATTGCTTACTACGTGTGAAATCTGTGAATGATCACAGAGGTCACATGGTACAAGGCTATTCACAACAGCCTTGTACCATTTGACAAGCTGTGACCAATCACAGCTCACTCAGTAGTTCTCAATGGCTGCAACAATGCAGACAGAGAGAAGGAGAAATGATTGCTTTTACATCCTATATGGGTGTAAAAGCAATCACTGTAAAAAAAAAAAAAAAAAAAAAAAAAAATCTTCATTGCCCCCCACAAGTAAGTACAGTGTCACCATGGGGACACTGTACTGCTAGGGTGACAGTATGTAATAAAAAAAAAAAAAAAAAAAAAGTTTAAAAAAATTATAATTTCTGGTTATAAACTAATTTGGCTTATTTTTCTTTTTACTAAAAAGATAATGGAATACATTTTGGCCAAGATTTATGATGAAAGATTATTTATTTGCAAAATTTTATAAGAAAAACACTTTTTTTCAAAATGTTTGGACATTTTCATTTACATAGCAAAAAAAAATAAAAATCCCAGCGGTGAATAAAAACCACCAAAATAAAGCTTTATCTGTCTAAAAAAAAATGGTAAAACATTCTTATGGGTACAGTGTTGCATGACCGTGCAATTGTCAAAGTTTGATAGCGCTGAAAGCTGAAAATTGTCCTGGACAGGAAGGGGGTAAAAGTGTCTGGACAGGAAGTGGTTAATCACTTCCATACCAGGCACTTTCACCCCCTTCCTGCCCAGGCCAATTTTCAGGTTTCAGTGCTCTCACACTGTGAATGACAATTGCGCGGTCATGCAACACTGTACCCAAACTAAAATTTTATCATTTTGTTCACACAACTAGAGCTTTTTTTTTGGTGGTATTGCTAAACTAACAAAAAAAAAAGACTGAAAATTGTGAAAAAAAAACTCATTTTTCTTTGTTTCTGTTATAAAAGTTTACAAATAAATAATTGTTCTTCATAAATTTAGGCCGAGATGTATTCTGCTGCATGTCTTTGGTGAAAATAACCCAAATCAGTATTTATTATTTAGTTTGTAGGAAAGTTATAGAGTTCACAAACTATGGTATAGATCTGAAAATTGATCAATCCTGAAGTACTGACAGCCAATCTAATTTCTTGAGGCCCAAAAATATCAGAACAGTACAGATATCCCCCAAATGACCCCTTTTTGCAAAGTAGACAGTCCGACGTACTTCATAAGAGGAATGGTGAGCTTTTTGAAGTTGTAATTTTTTTTGTCATAATTTTTCGGAAAATAAAGAAATTAAAAAAATTATTTTCATAATTTTTTTTTTACATACTGACACCAGTGCAGTACAGCGTCATCATATAACTGGTGTGGCGGTGATCAGGGACACTGACTGGTGACAGTACGAAAAAAACAATTGATCATTTTTTTCATTTTTTTTGTGTTTTTAATTATTTTTTTTTTTTATTTTTTATTACTTTTTTTTTATTTTTTTAAGATTTTTTTTTTTCCTATTACGCTATGATCAAAGTAGTATAATGTTACCATAGTAACATTGTACTACTTTGGGGAAGTGATCAGTATTTATTTTTTTTTTTACACAATTTGATTGCTTATAGCAAAGAATTTATGTGCTACAAGCAAGCATGTAACTGAATGAAATTGATTCATTCAGGTTTTTTTTTGTTGTGATTAGCTGAGATTGGGCATGACTAATCACATGACACAGCTGGGCTTTGATTGGCCCAGCCTGTGCATGTGATCATTGTGACCATTCACAGCTAGACACACTTGTATACATTGGATGGCATGAAAGGAAGCCATCCATTGTATACAACTGTCATGTGACCTGATGTGATTGGTCACAGCAAGTCACATGGTACTGGCAATGGGGCCGGTACACAGATCTGTCATCGGCCATGTCAGAGGTAAATGGCCGGTGACAGATCTCGTCACAGCGCGGCGGCCCTGCGGACACGAGCAAAGCGCGATCTGGGAAGGACGTCATATGACGCCCTCCCAGAGGGACGAGAGGTTCGTCTGGCCGTCATTTGACTATAGGCCGGGCGGCAAGTGGCTCTTGGCTTACACCGTGGTCACATCAAACCCGACTTTGAAATCGAGTGACTTTCAGTGAAATCGTACGATTTCAAAGTCTGGTGATATGCCGATTTGAGGTGCGATTTGCAAGACATTGGACACAGATGTCTATGCGAATCGCACCAAAAGTAGTGCATGTACTACTTTAGAAATCGGCTCGGCTCCGACCGACCAAGTGGGAACCACATCGGTATGACTGCTCTAATAGCGGACAATAGGATGTGACTTGGCATGTGATTTGCAAGTCGCATGGCATGCAAATCGCATGCCAATTCGCATCCAGTGTGATCAAGGACTTAACCAGGGCTTGTTTACAGTTACGGCAGCCCTTGTCATCCCTCTGGAAAACCATCCACAATGGATAACTTTTCAGAGGATGGTTGACAGGCAGCTTGGAGGTGATATGTCACTTCCTCATCACCTGTTTGAACCCTAAAAATTGCTTTACACACAGTTGCAGGGTGGTTGCAGCACAGTCCCATTCACTCAAATGGGTCTCATTTGGCATGAGTACTGACCGCCAAACATGACATGGGTTAACATTTTTGCCAGGGCTCTGCCATGTGTTCCACCCCATCCGGCCTCTGCTCTAGTTTAAGGTGGGAGGTTAGGGGGTGGTAAAACTGTGGCTCAGCCAACCTCAGACTGCAAGTCTGAGGGAGGCCTTAAAGTGTTACTAAACCCAGTACCCTGCATTCACTATATCAGATCTCCCACAGTACACAGAACATAGAAATGCAATTATTTTAGTAAATAGAAACTGCTAAATACCTTTTCTCATTAGCAGTTAGAGCAGTCTTGTGACTTCTATCAGTGTCCTGCCGAGCACTGGTTACAGTTTGTAGGAGGAGCTTTCTTTCTGCTCTAGGAGGATGCCAAACCCCTGACCTCTGTCTGGACTGTGCTGATTGGCCCTGTGCTGATCACATGCACTCTCCCAGGAAAAAAAAAAAACCTCTCTAGTTGTGGTTACTTTGATTGCGCGATCGCGATCGAGCCCGTGCCACACCCAGACGCTGCGCAGCACAAAGAAAATATAAGAAATAAGAATATAAGGATTCCAGGAAAGGGGGAATACCTTACACTAGTAATACACACTACATTGAGCATGTGCAGAATGGCTACGGTTCAGTCTGTCTTATCAGGTGGACATTTGAATAAGAGGAAGGGCAGAGAAGACAGGATCAAACGGCCTTTTTACACAATGCAGAGGATTAACACCTTAGGGTCCACAGTGAGTATAACAAGCATTACTGCATATACAGACTGATTTTACTGTTGTGGGTTTAGTAACACTTTAAAACTGAACACTAGGCAGATATAATATGCAATAGAATGTGCAGCTCTGTATTAGTTAAAGTGTTACTAAACCCAGGACCCTACATTCACTATATCTGGTCTCCCAGGACCCTGCATTCACTATATCTGGTCTCCCCGGACCCTGCATTCACTATATCTGATCTCCCAGGACCCTGCATTCACTATATCTGGTCTCCCAGGACCTCGCATTCACTATATCTGATCTCCCAGGACCCTGCATTCAGTATATCTGGTCACCCAGGACCCCGCATTCACTATATCTGGTCACCCAGGACCCCGCATTCACTATATCTGGTCACCCAGGACCCCGCATTCACTATATCTGGTCTTCCAGGACCCCGCATTCACTATATCTGATCTCCCAGAACCCCGCATTCACTATATCTGGTCTCCCGAACCCCGCATTCACTATATCTGGTCTCCCAGGACCCCGCATTCACTATATCTGGTCTCCCAGGACCCCGCATTCACTATATCTGGTCTCCCAGGACCCGGCATTCACTATATCTGATCTATATCTGGTCTCCCAGAACCCTGCATTCACTATATCTGGTCTCCCCGAACCCCGCATTCACTATATCTGGTCTCCCAGGACCCCGCATTTCACTATATCTGGTCTCCCAGGACCCCGCATTCACTATATCGGTCTCCCAGGACCCTGCATTCACTATATCTGGTCTCCCAGGACCCCGCATTCACTCTTTATGATCTCCCATCTGGACCCCGCATTCACTATATATCTGGTCTCACCAGGTCTCCCTGCATTCACTATATCTGGTCTCCCCGGACCCTGCATTCACTATATCTGGTCTCCCAGGACCCTGCATTCACTATATCTGGTCTCCCACAGTACACAGAACATGTTGTAGTAAATATAAACAGCTAAATACCTTTTCTCATCAGCAGTTATAGCAGTCTTGTGACTTATATCAGTGTCCAGCAGGACACTAAATACAGCTTGTGGGAGGAGTTTTCATTCTGCTGTCGGAGAATGCAGGACCCCGACCTCTCTCTTGACAGTGCTGATTGGCCCTGTGCTCTCTATGCCTTCCTGTCCTTGTGACTACTGCATCACTGGCACATCACATGTGACTACTACATCACTGGCACATCACAGGTGACTACTACATCACTGGCACATCACAGGTGACTACTGCATCACTGGCACATCACAGGTGACTACTGCATCACTGGCACATCACAGGTGACTACTGCATCACTTGCACATCACAGGTGACTACTGCATCACTGGCACATCACATGTGACTACTACATCACTGGCACATCACATGTGACTACTACATCACTAGCACATCACAGGTGACTACTGCATCACTGGCACATCACAGGTGACTACTGCATCACTGGCACATCACAGGTGACTACTGCATCACTGGCACATCACAGGTGACTACTACATAACTGGCACATCACAGGTGACTACACATCACACAGGTGACTACTGCATCACTGGCACATCACAGGTGACTACTGCATCACTGGCACATCACAGGTGACTACTGCATCACTGACACATCACAGGTGACTATGGGGCAGGAAGTGAGGGAAAAGCTTCCCAATGAGGTCACAGAACCTGATAGAAATTTTGAGTATTCAGCATCCAAGGCTAAAAAAAATGGGCTGGAGTGAGACCTAAAGGAGTGGCCTCAGGTGACAGAGAGATGAAACACATCCTCCTACATATGTTGTACCTGTTTATTTGCAGTATTCTCTCCTCTACATCTGTTCAAACTTCAGAATTTACACAGGATCTCTCAGATCTTAAAAGCAAAGGGGCGGAGAGTTGAAGTTAAACTTAAAAAGGAGAGCTCTGAGCCCTGATTGGAGGGAAGGGACACAATTCCCTCCACACAGCACACGGGAACAGAGCTGAGGCTGTCATTCGCAGGCTATGTGCTGGAGCTCCCTCCCCTGTTAGTTTTTTTTTTTTCTCTTGGTATCTGGAAAATTTGTCATAAGTGACCTGTGCTGTTAGCAGAGGAATGAGGCAGCAGACAGAAATGACACTCAGTGCTCTGGATTGAGGCAAGTACACACTATAGAGGGATATGCTTTGCTCATGTGATATGGGATATGATATTTCATGTCTGAGATTTACGACCACTTTAAACTTTCCAGTACCAGAAAGTGAAATAGCAGTTTTGGATGAACAGATACATAATAATTTTTCCCAGATTTTTTACAGCAAGAGAAGAGCAAGGAGTGTTGGTTATGTGTTATAGAAGACACTGATAGTGATAGCAGAATTCAGGCTTTACTTGTGTGGCTTAAGTTACAAACATACAGAGCACATTTCATGCAGACTGTATAACAGCAGACATGTTACAGACTCATTACTTCCTGAAGAGATGATAGAGAAGAAGAAAAAAGCAGCAAGTTTTACACATACACAACTAGTAACCTTTAGCGTACAGTGCCATCTACTGGTCAAGTGATATTACCACAGAATACTGTATATAGTACATTATAGTACATGCTGTTGTATTCCCAACACCCCTTCTCAACGGCATGTGCATAATTATATGACATTTAGTCTCTTTTGTAGAAAACAATGACGTTCCCTTGGCAAAGGTTTGGTGAGTGCGTCTGCAGTCATCTCCTCTGATGGGCAGTACTGGATGTCGATAACCCTTGTTCTTGCATGTCTCTGAGCAGATGATATCTTACATCAATGTGCTTGGTTCTTGGGTTAATTTCTCAGAGTGTGTAAGCTTTATGCATCCCTGATTGTCTTCAAAGATGGGTGTGGGTTGTGACATATTCAGTCCCATGTCTAGTAGAAGTTGACGAATCCAAATGGATTCATGACATGCATGTGCTGCTGCTATGTATTTCACTTCAGTTGAAGAGAGTGCAACAGTCACTTGTTTCCGATGGTTTTGCGACCAGGAGGGAGTTCTGTTAGTGACCAAGTTTTATTTTCTCGAAGTGATTTTATTTCTTCTTCAGCTGCTTTTCTCCACTGATCGGCTTCCCTTCTCGGCAAAGTTTCTATGTCTTCCCAGGATGTTGGCTCCTGTGTTTGATGTGTTTTAGCAGCGTATGATAACCTGCGGGGTGGTATCCCTTTTGTCATTCGAGAGGATCTTCTGATTTCTTGTTGTTCAGTGGGTTCTATTGGATCGTTGATTGTAAGTTCCACTTCTTGTTCTGGCTCTTGTCCTGCTTCGCATAAATCAGTGTCTCTTGCCGATTCAGTGTGTAAATCCTCTCCACATTTTTCAAGAATTGTATTATCTGGTGCTTCACTTTCATCAAAATAAACACTGCGGCTTACTGTGACCTTGTTGGTCTTTGGACAAAGGATTCTATATCCCTTACTCTGCTCACTGTAGCCAACCAGAATGCCTTCTATGGCTTTGTTCTCCAACTTGAGAGCTTTTCTGACTTGGAATGTGGGCATATGCTTTACAGCCAAATACTCTGATATGTCCTACGTTAGGTTTTGATCCATTCCACATTTCATATGGTGTACTCTCAATAGCTTTTGATGGGAGCCTGTTTTGTAGGTATGTTGCAGTCATTATTGCTTCTCCCCAGTATTTGTTAGGTAAGCAGCGTCCGTAATCATACATCTTGTCATTTCTACAAGAGTGCGATTCTTTCTTTCAGCTACACCGTTTTGCTCAGGAGTGTATGGTACAGTTGTTTGGTGTATAATACCTTGTTTCTTTAGGTATGATTCCATCTCTTTATTCATATATTCCCCTCCATTGTCAGTGCGTATTATTCCAGGTTTCCTTTGAAACTTGTTGCTTGTCATAGCTTCAAACTCTTGAAATTTTTCTAATGTCTCACTTTTGTGCTTCATTAGATACGTTATTGTGTACCGGGAATAATCGTCGATGAAAGTCAGTAAATATCTGTTCCCGCCAGGTGTGATGGTTTTCATTGGTCCGCACACATCACTGTGTATCAGTTCCATGGGTTTAATGGTTTTACTCTGACTGGTCTGTGGAAGAGGGGTTCGGGTGGCCTTTGCTTTGATGCAACACGTGCACTTGCTGAGTGTGTGACAAGGCAATATTTTCATGTCTTCTGATAGACCTCTCTTTGCAAAGTCCTTTATAGCTTCTGGGTTTCGATGCCCCAGTCTTCTATGCCACAGGTGGATGCACTTGTCATGTGGGTTATGAGTTGCCGCATTAGCCTTCTCACTTTCAGTGATGAGTTTGTACAGATGTTCATTTAATCTTCCTCTTGCTAGAATTTGCTTTCCATTTTGAATTGTGCATTCATTACCTCTGAACTGGACAGTGAGTCCATTGCTTGCAAGGGTTTTAACTGATAGGAGGCTTCCTTCTAGGCTTGGAACATATAGAACATTCTTTACAAGGATGCTCTGCTTGCCCCCTGATGGCGTTTTGCAGTTCAGAAATCCCTGACCTTTACCTTCTGCTGTAATACTTTTCCCATTTGCTAGGAAGACTTTATCTTTTACACTAAAATCAATTTCTGTGAAGAATGTCTCGTCGCTTGTCATGTGACTTGTTGCCCCTGAATCAATGTACCATCCATGTGAGGTACTATTCTGAGTCACTTTAAAAGTACCACTCCATGATGCACTTTCATTTTCTTTCATGACCGCTTTAGCTCTTTCTCTTGTGGGTAGCTCCCGCTTTCGCTGCTCAGCTTTCCAGATTGAACAGTTCTTTTTCAGGTGACCGGCCTTTTTGCAGCGAAAACATACCCTGCTTTCTTTGCTTTGTCTTATGCCTTCATGCACCTTCAGAGCTGCCTCTGGTCTCTCGTTCTCTTCACTATGCAAATTTTCCTTTCTTCTACTGTATTCATCAATTAATTTTCCCTTAACATATTCTAGCGTCAGTTCAGTTTCCGGTCTAGTTTCTAGAGCATTTATAAGGGCACTGTATGATTCTGGAAGGCTGCACAGAAGTAGCGCCACAACATGGTTGCTTTTCAATTCTTCACCTATTGCACCCAGCTGGTCCACAATTTCTAGCATGGCATTTACATGTTCACCCATTTCCTGCCCTTTTTCCAGCCTCATCTTATACAGTTTGCGTAGTAGATATAGTTTACTGTTTAGGTTTGCACGTTCATGCAGCTTTTGTAATGCAGTCCACATACCTTTAGCTGTGCTTTCTTCCCTTTATATGAATGAGTTGATCGTCGTCCTCCACTAACAGGCTTATGACTGCTTTTGCTTGCCTGTTTTTTCTGTCCCATTCTTCCGGGTTGTCATTGGGTCTGTGTGTATCTAGTACCTGCCACAAGTCATCTTTGGATAACAGCATTTCAAGCTTAAACTTCCATAGCTGGTAGTTGGTGTTGTTGAGCTTTGCTATTGTAAACTTCATATCTGAAGCACTTGCCATCTTTCAGTGAATTGGTAGGATTGTAAATGCAGCACTTACTTGCTTGTAGTTCTCCTTTTTCCAGTGTCTGGAGCTGGGCCCATAACCTGTTGGTTATGTGTTATAGAAGACACTGGTAGTGATAGCAGAATTCAGGCTTTACTTGTGTGGCTTAAGTTACAAACATACAGAGCACATTGCAGCAGACTGTATAACAGCAGACATGTTACAGACTCATTACTTCCTGAAGAGATGATAGAGAAGAAGAAAAAAGCAGCAAGTTTTACACATACACAACTAGTAACCTTTAGCGTACAGTGCCATCTACTGGTCAAGTGATATTACCACAGAATACTGTATATAGTACATTATAGTACATGCTGTTGTATTCCCAACAAGGAGAAGGTAAACCCTGTGCTGCTTTTTTTTTCTATGGTGGTTATTATATCTGCATAGTAATGAGAAAAGATATTGGATTTCTCTTACTAAGAGTTTTTTGATCTTTTGTTGCTAAAGTACATCTAGCAGCTATGGAAGGTCACCTGCACTGCTTCAAATTTCTGCTCAGTAAAGTCGTGAGTATAACCCGAGCATTGGAAGCGAGGAACAGCAATCAAGACAACCCGAGAGACCTGGCCCGACGTTTCTATAAGGAGAGGATTACACAGTACATTGATGGTGTGGAATATGAGCGCGATCATCCAGAGGAACACGAGAGTGAGTACCTCTATACCCAGCGTACCAAATCCATCCTCTGCAAACCTATAGCATACTTAGTTCAGGCACTGACCTGAGGCTTGGGAGACTTAAATTAAATGAACCCAACTTTTATGCCTGCTGTACCATGTATTTGTAAGGAAAGAGTCTTCTGTTCTCTTTGTATTGCTTCATTTATGTGAAATCCCGGGTGCTCCTGCTGTGCTGTGCTGCATGCCTCATGTGCTAACAAGGAGCATGCTGATAGCGGGGAGAGCAGAGTGACAGAGAGGTGACCTCATTTGTGTGCTGCTTCTTCTTTCACTGTTCAGTCACAGACCGGGAAGGACCAGACATGTAAGTGCTACTGGACTGCAAAAGAATTCAAACCAGAGATGCAGCATGACGGCCATGCAACCGACCAGCAGTGAAGCCTTTATGTTTCTCTTTTTAAAGGTTTAGATAGAAATGAGTGAACACTGTATGTAGCTAGATCAGGTTGGGTGTGCACCATCTTTTCTTGCCTTCCTGAAGTTGATGATGTAACATGAAATGTAGCGTGTAATCTTGAAACTGTATGAAGATGATAAAATCCTTTATGTTACTGCCCATTGGCCTGTTGAATTCATCCAGCGTTGCATCATTTGAAACAATCTTGAAACCTTGTACAGTGAAGGAAATAAGTATTTGATCCCCTGCTGATTTTGAATGTTTACCCACTCACAATGAAATGATCAGTCTAAAAAATCGACTGGCAGGGGATAAAATATTTATTTCCCTCATGAACATGCAGATCAGTGCATCATTTGTTAGACATGCATTTCTTGCTGAATTTTTTGCTGCTATTCTGTCTCTCAGTGTTACAATATACCGAACATTCGATTTTTAGACTGATCATTTCTTTGTGAGTGGGCAAACATTCAAAATAAGCAAGGGGTCAAATACGCATTTCCTTCCTGTGTGTGTGTGTGTGTGTGTATGTGTGTGTGTGTGTGTGTATGTGTGTGTGTGTGTGTGTGTGTGTGTGTTGTGTGTTATATATATGTGTATATATATATATATACACACACACACACAAATATATACATAAATATATTATTCTTTGCTGAACATATTTTTGTCTGCTTAATAATTCAAGTATCAAGAAAAAGTAAAAAAAAAAAACAAAACAACATTTCAATGCTCCATCATTCTTAGCGTAATGGATGCGTGATCCAGCAAGACTTTGAAGAAAAAATAAATAAAATATATACACAAAACACATTATTATATATATATATATATATATATATATATATATATATATATTATATATATATAGTGTGTATATATTATATAATTTTTATTTATTTTTTCTTCAAAGTCTTGCTGGATCACACATCCATTACGGTAAGAATAATGGAGCATTGAAATATTGTTGTTTTTTTTTTTACTTTTTTTTACTTGATACTTGAATTATGTTATATTTGTGTGTGTGTGTGTGTGTGTGTGTTTGTGTGCATATATAAATAAATATATATTTTTCAGCAAAGTAATATATATATTTATGTATGTTATGTATTTATATATATTTTAAAAAAATGTATGTGTATGTATATATATATATGTATGTATGTATGTATATATATATATGTATGTATATATATATATGTATGTATATATATATATATATAATGTATGTATATATACAGTGGGGATCGAAAGTTTGGGCACCCCAGCTAAAAATTTGTATTAATGTGCATAAAGAAGCCAAGGAAAGATGGAAAAATCTCCAAAAGGCATCAAATTACAGATTAGACATTCTTATAAATATGTCAACAAAAGTTAGATTTTATTTCCATCATTTACAATTTCAAAATAACAGAAAACAAAAAAATGGCGTCTGCAAAAGTTTGGGCACCCTGCAGAATTTATACCATGCACTGCCCCCTTTGCCAAGCTGAGACCTGCCAGTGTCATGAATTGTTCTCAATCATCGTCTGGGAAGACCAGGTTATGTCAATCTCAAAGGTTTTAAATGCCCAGACTCATCTGACCTTGCCCCAACAATCAGCACCATGGGTTCTTCTAAGCAGTTGTCTAGAAAACTGAAACTGAAAATAGTTGACGCTCACAAAGCTGGAGAAGGCTATAAGAAGATAGCAAAGCGTTTTCAGATGTCAATATCCTCTGTTCGGAATGTAATTAAGAAATGGCAGTCATCAGGAACAGTGGAAGTTAAAGCAAGATCTGGAAGACCAAGAAAAATATCAGACAGAACAGCTCGCAGGATTGTGAGAAAAACAATTCAAAACCCACGTTTGACTGCACGATCCCTCCAGAAAGATCTGGCAGACACTGGAGTTGTGGTACACTATTCTACTATAAAGAGATACTTGTACAAATATGGTCTTCATGGAAGAGTCATCAGAAGAAAACCTCTTCTTCTACGTCCTCACCACAAAAATCATCGTTTGAACTTTGCAAATGAACATATAGACAAGCCTGATGCATTTTGGAAACAAGTTCTGTGGACCGATGAGGTTAAAATTGAACTTTTTGGCCGGAATGAGCAAAGGTACGTTTGGAGAAGAAGGGGCACAGAATTTAATGAAAAGAACCTCTGTCCAACTGTTAAGCATGGGGTTGGATCAATCATGCTTTGGGGTTGTGTTGCAGCCAGTGGCACAGGGAACATCTCACGAGTAGAAGGAAAAATGGATTCAATAAAATTTCAGCAAATTTTGGATGGTAACTTTGATGCCATCTGTGAAAAAGCTGAAGTTAAAGAGAGGATGGCTTCTACAGATGGATAATGATCCTAAACACACCTCGAAATCCACGGGGGATTACATCAAGAGGCGTAAACTGAAGGTTTTGCCATGGCCTTCACAATCTCCTGACCTCAACATAATTGAAAATCTATGGATAGACCTTAAAAGAGCAGTGCGTGACAGACAGCCCAGAAATCTCAAAGAACTGGAAGATTTTTGTAAGGAAGAATGGGGCAAAGATACCTCAAACAAGAATTGAAAGACTCTTGGCTGGCTACAAAAAGCGTTTACAAGCTGTGATACTTGACAAAGGGGGCAGTACAAGATATTAACTCTGCAGGGTGCCCAAGCTTTTGCAGACGCCATTTTTTTTGTTTTCTGTTATTTTTGAAAGTGTAAATGATGGAAATAAAATCTAACTTTTGTTGACATATTATAAGAATGTCTAATCTTAATTTGATGCCTTTTGGAGATTTTTCCCATCTTTCCTTGGCTTCTTTATGCACATTAATACAAATTTTTAGCTGGGGTGCCCAAACTTTCGATCCCCACTGTGTATATATATATATATATATTATATATATATGTATGTATATATGTGTGTATATATATATATAGTATAATATATGTGTATATATATATATATATATATATATATATATATACACACACACACACATACACACACACACAGGGAAGGAAATGCGTATTTGACCCCTTGCTTATTTTGAATGTTTGCCCACTCACAAAGAAATGATCAGTCTAAAAATCGAATGTTCGGTATATTGTAACACTGAGAGACAGAATAGCAACAAAAAATTCAGAAGAAATGCATGTCTAACAAATGATGCACTGATCTGCATGTTCATGAGGGAAATAAATATTTGATCCCTACCATTCGATTTTTAGACTGATCATTTCTTTGTGAGTGGGCAAACATTCAAAATCAGCAGGGGATCAAATACTTATTTCCTTCACTGTACAAAGGTTTCAAGATTGTTTCAAATGATGCAACGCTGGATGAATTCAACAGGCCAATGGGCAGTAACATAAAGGATTTTATCATCTTCATACAGTTTCAAGATTACACGCCACATTTCATGTTACATCATCAACTTCAGGAAGGCAAGAAAAGATGGTGCACACCCAACCTGATCTAGCTACATACAGTGTTTTTTTTTTTTTACTTTTTCTTGATACTTGAATTATTAAGCAGACAAAATATGTTCAGTGAAGAATAATCACATTCATTTGCCCGACAGACTTCTGTGACATTGAATTTTATAGACAGCACCCTTCATTTAAATTTTTTTTTTCAGATTTGGCATTTCCTGCTCATGTTGCTGCCTTCAAAGGTGACTTGGTAACACTTCGAAAGCTGGTGGAAAGTGGAATTATCAACATCAATGAGCGAGATGCCCGGGGCTCCACACCACTACATAAAGGTAAAAGTAATACTATAAAATGGTTCTAAAGACTGAAGGACAGAACCCTTGTGCACCCCGTTCACAACTCAGACCATTCAGAAAATAATGCCATTAACCTCTTGGCGCCGGCCGAACGCAAACTGTGCGGCCTCTTGGCGTCTGGGCCTAGACGCCAAGCGGCCGCACATTTGCGTTCTATTAAAAAAAAAACGTGCTGAGAGAGCGCACACCCTGTGCGCTCCCAGCACACACATTCGGTACTTACGGAAAGGTCCCGATCTTTTCTTTTGATCGGGACCTTTCCCGATCATGTGACCGCCGTGACAGCGAATCATGGCGGTCACATGACCCTAAAACCCCCCACCCCGCCTCCCGGCTTCTGGAACCCTTAAAGGGCTGGGAGGCGCCTGCGCCAAGGGGTTAATTACCACCCTCTGGACACACTCCTGTTACCAGTTTTCTATCCAAGTACATACAATATCATCAATGCGAAAAGACCTTAACTGGTAGATTAAGCACTCACTGGGTATGTACACTACGCCCATGGGCTTTCCTCTATCCGAATTACAGCTCACCTTCTCTTAGAATGTTAATAGGTTGGTCTGGCAAGAATGATCTTTCATAAATACATGCTGGTTACTACTACTGATACTATTTTCATTGGGTATGGTCCCTTCCATCTTTGTCTTGGGCGTTAAAGGATCATTTCCTAACACTGGATGCAGTCTGGATGGAGTTTTTTTTGTAGTTAGTTGATTTTGTATTGAACATTACAGCAAATATAAAATGCAGCTGTATGTATGTTATGTTAGTAAAGCATATGTACACCATTAGTTGGCTTGACACGCCATCATTCATAAAAAATGAAAAGTAAGGGAAGCAACAATAAGGCCCCTTTCACATGGGAGGTTCAATCAGGTTCACTTGTCAGTTTTTCAAGTGGACCTGTTCAGAAACTCCATGTAAGTCTACAGGCAACGCCATCCTTACCTAGGTTGAGGGAGTTGGAATTGGGTACTGACAAAAAAATGGCACTCGCTTTGCTTCCCTGCAAAAAACCTGCAAATCAGTTACAGGCTGTGGGGAGGGAGAGAATTAGCGGTACTTCACTTTTTGAGTGAGCTCCACTTTAAAGACAGAAAAACACGGGGAAATCGCAAAAAAGGTATCATTTCAACTTCAAAGTTTCTGCATTAATGACGTGGTACAATATTACTACTGTTACGAAAGAAATATTAACCACTTCCCGTCCGGCCGCTGTATATAAACGGCCGGACAGTGGCAGTGCAGGGGCGGGTTGCCGTACATAAACGGCGCCCACCATTTTGGATTGTGCGCGCTCCTGGGAGCACACCGCATCGCTGTACGGGACCTCTGTGTGAGGTCCTGATCATGTGATTACTGATTGGCCAATCAGTGATCACATGAATTAGTGTAAGCAAGATGTCACTTCTAACATCATTGCTTACCACGTGTGAACTCTGTGACTGATCACAGAGATCATATGGTACAAGACTATTCACAACAGCCTTGTACCATGTGACAAGCTGTGACCAATCACAGCTCTCTCAGTATTTCTTAATGGCTGCAAGAATACAGACAGAGAGAAGAAATTATTGTTTTTACAGCCTTTATGGGTGTAAAAGCAATCAGTGTAAAAAAAAAAAAAAAAAAAAATCTTCATTACCCCCCATAAGTAGTACAGTGTCACTATGGTGACACTGTACTGCTAGGCTGACAATAGTATGTTAAAAAATCAAAAAGCATAAATAATAATATCAAAAAATAAAAATGTAAAAGTTTTAAAAATTATAAGTTTTGGTTATAAACTAATTTGAGTTATTTTTTTTACTAAAAAGATAACTGAATACATTTTGGCCAGGATTTATAAAGAAAGATTATTTATTTGCAAAATTTTATTAGAAAAACACCAATTTTTTGGACTTTTTCATTTATATAGCAAAAAAAATTAAAATCCCAGTGCTGAATAAATACCATCAAAATAAAGTTTTATCTGTCTCAAAAAAATGCTAAAAAATTCATATGGGTGCAGTGTTGTATGACTGCGGAATTTTCATTCAAATTGTGACAGCACTGAAAGCTGAAAATTGGCCTGGGCAGATGGGGGTGAAAGTGTCTAGACTGGAAGTGGTTAACTAGAGTGCTCTTCAGAATTATAAAAATAAAGTTAGATTTTTCCATTAAAGCCCATTTTGGGAGGTTATGAGAAGAAATGAGTGTACTTGGAGGAAGCCCATGTTGCTGATTTCAAACCAGACATACTTGAGAAAGGTTTGGGTCCTCTATGTACCTACAGAAACCCCAATTCAGATTTGTAATCTCTGTCCTTTCCTTCTCAGCGGCAGGACAAGGTCGGATTGAATGCCTACAGTGGCTCCTGGAGATGGGGGCTGACTACAATATCACCAATGAGGCTGGGGAGACCCCAAAGGATGTTGCTAAGCGGTAATATGATGTGGAAATGTGTGCAGGAGAGGTTTCTAGCTTTGGTGCTAGGTAGTGTAAGTCACGGCATGTAACTGATGGGTATGATTTACCGTATGTATTAGAGCGTTACAAGGCCTTGGTGGATTATTTTATAGTATGTTCATTTTATTACAGCTCAGACACTGGAATTAAATATTCAGTTAGCCAATAAAAGTAACTTATGTTTTATGGTTCTGATCAATCCATAAAAAGCTGCAAAATTGTTACTGATAAATCTATGAAAGGATAAATAGATATGCTTTTGCTTAGTTCTTTTTTGTATCCTTCTCTAATGTTCACAAACATTTGTGCCTTTTTTTTTTCTTCTGCTTACAGATTTGCACAGCTAGCCGCCGTCAAACTCCTGGGAGTAGGAGCTGCGGAAGAAGACTCCGATGAAGAATTAAGTGAAGATGATCCATTATTTTTTGAAAGACATGGAGTAGAGGGGAGCACTGACCAACACGACGAGTTAAACCTTAGTTCAGCTGAGAAGAAGGAGGCACGCAGTATGTATCCTACTTCCCAACTTCAAAAGAAACAGGATAGGGGCCATTTATCATACGTAGCACCCTCCTAGATAGGCCGCTAGGATCATAGGTAAATTTAGTGCTTTTTTTGGCTCCTCTGTAATCATTGGAGCAGCTGTTGATTTGTTTGGGCTGTTCTAGGTCCCACAGGCTGAAGGTTTGATTGTTTCTGCCTGCAGATTCAGATGGGTAGCTTATATATTTATTATGCTGCAGCTAATCCCTGGGGACATGTGCACAGTAGGTGGCTGGAGTGGAACATAAATAGTCTGAGGACAGGAGCAACCGTAGTCTTATCCTGCTGGAGGAGTTTCCAACCTCAGGGTCTACGGCCCCTTTGAGGCAGTCCTGCTGGAGTCTGCTGATGTTCATCGAGGACCCAGCTGTGGCTGAGCCTGTTCCTAATTTCTTCTGAAGCTAAAGATCTGGTTTGAAGAACTCACTTAGCAGTGTCTGGTTGAACCTGGGAGGGGTGCAGCTGCCCAGGGTATTGTGAGTACAGACCCAAGCTCAAGATTTAGTGAGTGTGTTGTTCTTGTTCTGGGGTGCCAGCTGTAGCTCATTCTGAGGCTGCTTCTGTATCTCAGCATAAGTATTTCCCTTTGTTTCTGGCTTAAAGACTGTTCAAAGAAGTTTCACTTAGTAAAGTGTGTTCTTATGGAGTATTTCTGGAGTATCCCGTACCACCCTATCCCCTCCTACTAGACTGTTCAATGAGCCGGAGGGAATGGATTCTTGCTGCATGACTGGCAGCCTCTGCACTGTTTTTGGAAAGAACCAGTTAAGGGTAGAGCTACACACATATATCACAATATTACATATTCTTATCATGCAGTATATATGTTTAAAATAAAGCCCTCACTGACCTCTGCAGCTGCAGGCACTGGGGAGCAATTCTTCCTCAGATTCATAGCAGAAGCATTCCTGCTCCTGCTCCTCCTCCTACAGTAGGAGTGACTTGACAGTCTTCTAATGTAAACAAAGAGCAGGTATATTAGAAGGCTGGAAAATGGAGCAATATGCACTCCAGTGCTTCTATAAAAAAAATGGATGAATTGCTCCACAGTGCCTGCAGCTACAGAGGTCAGAGCACTTCTTTACTGGGTCATGAGACAGTTACACTTCTTTACTGGCATATCCCCCTCTTAGTATTAAAAATGGAGAATACATGGAGATCATATCCCCCCTTATGCATGGTGATCATATCCCCCCACATGTGATCAATTATCCCCCCCTTATGTATTATACATGGAGATCATATCCCCCCCATGTATTTACAGTATTATACATGGGATCATATCCCCCCATGTATTATACATGGTGATCATATCCCCCCTTATGTATTTACATGGTGATCATATCCCCCCCTTATGTATTATACATGGAGTATTATACATGGAGATCATATCCCCCCTTATGTATTATACATGGAGATCATATCCCCCCTTATGGAGATCATATCCCCCCTTATGTATTATACATGGTGATCATATCCCCCCTTATGTATTAATACATGGTGATCATATCCCCCCTTATGTATTATACATGGAGATCATATCCCCCCTTATGTATTATACATGGTGATCATATCCCCCCTTATGTATTATACATGGAGATCATATCCCCCCCTTATGTATTATACATGGAGATCATATCCCCCCTTATGTATTATACATGGAGATCATATCCCCCCTTATGTATGGAGATATACATGGTGATCATATCCCCCCTTATGTATTATACATTATCCCCCCTTATGGTGATCATATCCCCCCTTATGTATTATACATGGTATTATACATGGTGATCATATCCCCCCTTATGTATTATACATGGAGATCATATCCCCCCTTATGTATTATACATTCATATCCCCCCATGTATTATACATGGTGATCATATCCCCCCTTATGTATTATACATGGAGATCATGGTGATATCCCCCCTTATGTATTATACATGGAGATCATATCCCCCCTTATGTATTATACATGGAGATCATATCCCCCCTTATGTATTATACATGGAGATCATATCCCCCCTTATGTATTATACATGGAGATCATATCCCCCCTTATGTATTATACATGGAGATCATATCCCCCCTTATGTATTATACATGGAGATCATATCCCCCCTTATGTATTATACATGGAGATCATATCCCCCTTATGTATTATACATGGTGATCATATCTTATATCCCCCCTTATGTATTATACATGGAGATCATATCCCCCCTTATGTATTATACATGGTGATCATATCCCCCCTTATGTATTATACATGGAGATCATATCCCCCCTTATGTATTATACATGGTGATCATATCCCCCCTTAATATCCCCCCTTATGTATTATACATGGTGATCATATCCCCCCCTCATGGTGATCATATCCCCCCTTATGTATTATACATGGTGAGAGATATATGGAGATCATATCCCCCCTTATGTATTATACATGGAGATCATATCCCCCCTCATATCCCCCTTATGTATTATACATGGAATCTTTCCTCCCCCCTTAATCTCCTCTTCTCAAGAGAGAATAAATTCAGTTCCTCTAATCTTTCCTCATAGCTGATCTCCTCCATGTCTCTTATCAGTTTGGTTGCCCTTCTCTGTACTTTCTCCAGTTCCCTATGTTCTTTTTGTGAATTGGTGCCCAAAACTGAACTGCATATTCCAGATGAGGTATATACTAATATGTAAAGTGATATTTTATATGCAAAGTCATGGTCCAGCAAAGACGTACATCTTCTGTTTAGGTGCTGCCTGTTTCCTCCCCTACATTGTGGTTGCAGGAGTCTTCTAATTACAAACACGGTGACAAGTATAGAAACCGGTGTATCTGTTACACACCCATTCAGGCGGAGCCTGTGCCCCAGTGATAAAGAAACCTGCAATGTAGTTGGATCATGTGCAAAAAAAAAAAAATGTGACGCATGTATAGAGGGCAAATGTTGGTGGAAGGGCATAAACACAGACAGGAAAAGCATTTGAATCAGTAAGAATTAGCAAAAGACGGTATGGAAAATGTCATGTGTGTGGTTGCCCAATACTCTAAACCAGTGGTGGTCAGTTCTTTTTATTGGAGGCTCAAGTGCTGTCTTTGGCTTCTCTAAAGGGCCACACATAATATTCAGAGTCTTTAATGCTACAGAAAACTGTCAGATATTGCAGACGTGCAACAGGAGTTGGCCAAAGACTACAGGCATGCTAAGAGATGGTCAGAAACTGCAAACATGCCAAGGAAACTATTGGAGACTGCTGACACATTATATGAGACTGCTAGAGATCACTGCTATTACAGCCCCTTAAGAGATCTCTACTTCCACATTTGTGCTCCCTACAGCCCCCTTACTGGTTCCTGGTGACATTTGATTTTTCTCACAGCAAGATTCATTATAAAAGATCCAAGGGAAAACATATGAAGTAAAAAGGGATGGGAAGATAGTGAGGAATAAATTAAACAAATAATTTGGCTAATAGAACCCAAACTAAAACATATTTTTCATTTATTGGCCTAAGCAGGCAACTAGGAAAGTTAAAGCAGACTACCGTCTTTAGGGACTTGAGGACTACATAGTAAGTTCCAAAGGCCGCAGGTTGACCAGAGGGCTCAAAACATTGTATGACATATTGTCTTTCTTCCAGTGAGAGCATACAAAAAGATGAAGGAACTCGAGAATCTTCTGCAGATTGCTAAAAGCAATTATAAGCATCTTGGTGGGATCTTGGAAGAGGAAACTCAGAGAAAGAGAGAACAGAAAGAATCGGACCGGTATGAGATATTTTTTGATGCCTTCCACTTATGTGCTGTGGAGAGTGATGTACACAAATGGTCTTTTCACAAAGATACATTGGGGATACATTGTTTAGTCCTCATGCACACCGGACGTATTTACAGCGGCTGTTTTTGGCTTTTGATGATTTTTTCTACAGCCAGTAAACCCGCCAGTATTTTATCCTATGTGTCCATACACACATAGACTGGAATCAATGTTTTTTTTTGGCTGGAAAAAAAACCCAGGACTAGTGGGTTTATAGAGGAGTTTTTTTTTTTAGCTGTAAAAATGCTCTAACGCTGAAAAACACGGCAAAACATGGTAAATCGTGGCAAACCAGCGTTTTTAGACTTTTTTTGACTAAAAAAAAACCCCCTAAAAACTGCAATCATGAAAAAATGCTACTAAACACTAATACAAAAATGCTAAAAAACCGCTGAAAAACTCACGTTTTTTAAAGTGACTTTACACAGCTAACGTTACCAGCGTTATTAAAACGCCCCCGTGTGCATGGAGCTTAAAGGATAAGTTCACCTTTGGGAACATGTAACACATTCTCAGTGCTGCAACTTCCCCCCCTCCCTGTGACATCAGGACAGGGAGAAGTTCCCTATACAAGTTGTCACTTTTTGAATAAAGTCATTCACTTCCAGAGTTCTGCGAATGAATGAACTACAAGTTCCGACAGCCTTTGCAGCTGTCAGCTTGTAGTTCTCAATGAACTACCATGGTGCTGAGAATTGCCATGGTAGTTCATTGATTCTTCCTATCAGTAAATCTCAGTGCTCACGTTCTCAATACCCTGGTTTACCATCACCTCGGTATGAGATAATACATAAAGACCTAAAATCACATAAAAGCAACATCAAGACCGATCTAATATAGATGTGCTGCATATGCAGTGACATATATCTGTCTAGTGCATTAGCAGCACCAACACATTGGTTACACAGCCATCAGGGAGTGTGTCAAAAAATTGTACCATCAGGTATATACTACACAGCACTATGCAATAATAGCTGATATCAGGCATCATATATGAATGAAATAACCCATAACCCAATCAAGGCAATGTGGGTGAAAAAATTGAAAATATAAATGGGGGACGGATATTCCTGTAATGACAGGATAATGGAATAGTGGCAATGCAGCCCCTATACAGCCCCTAGGTAAGGCACAAGTGAGTGGTGGACATGTATAGATTCACAGTAGACATGCCCATATGTGAACAATGCAGAGTCATTCATAAAGGTATCACTGTTGGTATCCTTGGTGAGATAAAGATGATAAAGATGGCAGGGTCCTGCTTCACGGGGTTTCTTCACCGCAACATACAGACTATAAACCACCTTATTACAGATGATAGTATGAAGCTTGCTGGGTCCTCCGTCTCTTGTAATATATAATTGGTGCCTTACACCTGGATAGTGAATGATATAGTCCCCATCCTGCAATAAATTGATGACAAATGGACAGTCAATCAATATATTCCTGCTGATGTATGTAATAAGTGGCGAATAGTCACCCCCTGCACCTGCCTAGGGACTCCACTGGTCTGTAGTGCATGTTCAAACCTTAATACCATAAATAACAACATGTTATTAGATTTTTTTTACTCTAGGAGTATATAATAAGTTTTGAAGTTCTAGAGAAATGCTTAAATAATGCATTAAAATTTAACTAAACCCATTTGATTTTAGTCAACTAAAATGATTTTATTTGACTAAAATGTACTGGAAATTAAACTAAAACAATTCAGATGACTAAAATGCGACTAAAACTAAAATGGCATTCTAGTCAAAAAGACTATGACTAAATTGAAATTGAAATTTGACGTCAAAATTAACATTGGCGTTTAGATATACTTTCATGTTGACCAAATTTAGATGAAGCAAAGTCTCTAACGTCAGAAGCAACCAGCCACAAAGAGCCTTTGAGATCCCTATCCCTAGTGTAGTTATGAAATGTCCGATTTCATTGGTCTCTAGTGAATGTGAGTGTATCTGCAGAGTGTATCTCCAGAACTTTCCTTTGGCCTCCTTGGTGGGTATGCACTATTATAAGGACCTGGTGTCAATGGCTTTGGGCTTGTGTTGATGGCGTTAGCTTGACTTCAGTTTGAAATGCTTATGTGATCATTTAGAATGATTTGACAGGTGCATTTGAACTGCAGTTGACTTCCTTCTGACATGCACTTGACTTCACATAGGTTTTGCATTCCTAGAGGCTTGTATGGGCATGCAAAGCTCATATGACACAAACACAAGCCTATCGATACAGGCTGCAAGGCACGTGTTTCTCAACCCACTGATTGAGTAAGCTGGGAGACTTGAAGGGAAAGCCAAGAAGGGAGAGAAATCAAAATAATATTTTACTGGGAGGTGAATGGATGGTGTGGAAAGATAATGTCATCAAGCCTCCAGCAGCCTTGAGCACTATCTGGGCATGAATTGAGAATAAACCACTGACTATTCAAATCATGAGAGGATGGTCAGCCTAGAACACCAGGTTATTGGTACGTGGGTCTTTTATGGTAAGAGCAGGCCAGTTACAATGCAGCAACTACTAGACATGAACTGGAAAGCCTCAGCAGGTAGCCTGGTCCTTTGTATTTTATTGAATCATTTAGTTTGAAAACATCATGCTATAAGCCAGGATTGTTATCTGTAACACTGGAGTGATTGGAACTTATCTCTGCCCAGGACTCATATTTCTAACCTTCTCTCCAGGATGATTAAAGACTTGGAGGCCCAGCTAGAGTATGAACGCCTACGCCGGGAGAAGATGGAGGTCCAGCTGGATGAATACAGGGTACAGATCTCTCAGCTCAACAGCTGCCTGGAACAGATGAAACCCCCTCCTCGACCCAGTGTAAGTGCTGTCTTCTTTGAAGGCCTCTAATGGACAACTTCACCTTTAATAAAGTTGTTCTTTTAACCTCTTGCCGCCCGGCCAATGGCCGATTGGCGGCCGGAAAAATCCCTCAGCGTTCCGGGTAGACGCCATATGGCGTCCTTTCGGGCATGCGCAATTTTCACACCTGCAGAGCCGTGCAGCGGCGCGATCTGTCACCGGCCGTGTACCTCGGACACTCCTGATGAGAGATTTGAGTACCGGCCCTGTTGCCGGTACCATGTGACCTGCTGTGACCAATCACAGCAGGTCACATGATGGTTGTATACAATGGATGGTTTCATTCATGCCATCCATTGTATACTAGTGTGTCTAGCTGTGAATGGTCACAGCGATCACATGCACAAGCTGGGCCAATCACAGCCCAGCTGTGTCATGTGATTAGCCGTGGCCAAATCACAGCTAAGCACAAAAAAAAAACCCCTGAATGAATCGATGTCATTCAGGTAAATGCTTGCTTATAGCAAAGTAATTCTTTGCTATAAGCAAATTTGTAAAAAAAAAAAAAAAAAATACTGATCACTTCCCCAAAGAAGTGCTATGGTAACATTGTACTACTTTGGTCATAGTGAAATATAAAAAAAAAAAAAAAGAAAAAAAAAAAAAAAAAAAAATAATAAAAAAAATTATATATACATTTTTTTCATACTGTCACCAGTCAGTGTCCCTGATCACCGCCATGCCAGTTATATGATGACGCTGTACTGCACTGGTGACAGTATGTAAAAAAAAAAATAGTGAAATTTTTTTTAATTTTTTCATTTTCCGAAAAATTATGACCAAAAAAATATAACTTCAAAAAACTCGCCATGACTCTTATGAAGTACGTCGGACTGTCTACTTTGCAAAAAGGGGTCATTTGGGGGATATCTGTACTGTTCTGACATTTGGGGGATATCTGTACTGTTCTGACATTCTTTGACCTCAAGAAATTAGATTGGCCGTCAGTACTTCAGGATTGATCAATATTCAGATCTATACCATAGTTTGTGAACTCTATAACTTTCCTACAAACTAAAAAATACATCCTAATTTGGGTTATTTTCACCAAAGACATGTAGCAGAATACATCTCGGCCTAAATTTATGAAGAACAATTATTTATTTGCAAACTTTATAACAGAAACAAAAACGTGTTTTTTTTTTTTTTCAAAATTTGCAGTCTTTTTTGTTAATTTAGCAAAAAATACCCCAGTGGTGATTAAATACCACCAAAAGAAAGCTCTAGTTGTGTGAAGAAAATGATAAAATTTTCGTTTGGGTACAATGTTGTATGACCGCGCAATTGTCATTCAAAGCGTGAGAGCGCTGAAACCTGAAAAATGGCCTGGATAGGAAGGGGGTAAAAGTGCCCGGTATGGAAACGGTTAATAAATGCCACCATCCTGAATGCAGTCCATCTACGATAAAATGTATTATCCCTGATTCAGTGATCTTTCCTCCAATAAAGTCTGCCGCAGCCTGCACTAGGTCAGCGCTCTGAGGGTCCGCCTCACCAAAGACCCAGTTCCATTTTCAGAATGACATTATGTACAGTAGAGCGGGGTGCCTCCAGGTGGAAGCCAGGAGGTGAAGCATGCGGCCTAAAGCTGTGTAAGGGGCACCAAAATTCCTAATGGCTGCCCTACTACCAACATGCAAAGCCCATCCTATTGTCAATGCCTGGGCCTGCTGATTAGTAGCTTAGACACTGTGGGATGGAGTCTGAAAGGCATTTCCCAGAAGTAAGGAAACTCGGGGGTGCCAAGTACGACAGAGGTGGGAATTTGTGCTACCTGCTGGTCCTCTAAGGTTTAAGGCTACTTGTGTACACAGCTGTTTGCATCCTGCTTCTGGGCAGTGGTTGGCAATTTGGAACTATTTGCAATGTAGACTTTGAATTTAGATTTGAACCTCATGGAGCAGTGTTAGTTTATTGCCAGGTCTGCATCACTTTAAATCACATTTTGGCAATCATAGAATGGTCTCTTTTGGAGTGTCTGAATTGTTCCCCCAATACATGTGAACGTGAAGGCAAATAGATGCAACTTGAAACCTGTTTAAAGAAGCTCAAAAGTATCTCCAATTCAGGCCATTTCCTTCAAGTGGTTCTAAAGTCTTAAGGTTTTAGCTTAATGCTTTCTCTACATTACATAGTTACATAGTTAGTCTGGCTGAAAAAAGACAAAAGTCCATCCAGTTCAACCATAGGAAAAAAAAAAGTTATAATCCTATACCCACAGTTGATCCAGAGGAAGACAAAAAAAAACAGCAAAGCATGACCCAATTTGATCCTGCAGGGGAAAAAAAATCCTTCCTGATCCCCCGAGATGCAATCGGATATTCCCTGGATCAACTTTACCTACAAATGTTAGTATCCAGTTATATTCTGTGTATCTAAGAAACAATCCAGGTCTTGTTTAAAGCAATCCACTGAGCTGGCCAGAACTAACTTGAGGGAGTCTTCCACATTTTCACAGCTCTTACTGTGAAGAAACCTTTCTGTGTTTGGAGATTACATTTCTTTTCCTCCAGATGTAAAAGTGCCCCCTTGTCCTCTGTGATGACCTCAGGGTGAATAGCTCTACACTGAGTTCACTATATGAACCACTGATGTATTTAAACATTAAGGTAAAGAAAACTTACATGCTGAGTTCCCCCCAGCCTCCCTAAATAGTTACCTGAGCCTGATCTTGATCAGTGCATTGCCCAAGAGCAGTGGTGCTCTCCTCTCTCTCTCTTCTCACAGGACCTGGAGGCAGCAGTGGGAGCCACTGGCTCCTGCTGCTGTCAATCAAATCCTGTGATGAGGGAGTGAGGGGCGGGGCCAAGCCATGTTTCTATAGATGAAGGCAGTGCAGTCCCCATAGCAAGCAGCTTGCTGTAGAAAGGCATGCCGAAGAGGAGGAGCCAGGACGCTGGTGGAGAACCCCAGAAGAGGAAGTTCAGGGCCGCTCTTTGCACAAAGCAGGTAACTATATCATGTTTGTTTAAAAAAAAAAAAAAGGTTTAGAATCATTTAAAAATCACAAGAATGAATGCTGTAGCTGAATTTTAAAGTGTATGTCAACCCCAAAAATGAACTTCCCTTAAAGTGGAGCTCCACACAAAAGGGGAAGTTCCACTTTAAGGACTGCTCCCCCACTCCCCATTAAAGATTGGCACTTTTGGGGGGTGAGTACCCAAATTTGACAGGTACCCGCTCCCACTTCCGGTTCAATTGCCTAGGCGATCGGAAGTGGAAGGTGTCCTCCCTCCCGCCCCCTCTCTTCTTTACATCTGTTCAAAGTGCTGATTTTTTTTACGTTTGTCTGAGAGCTCTGAAAAAAGGGGGTGGAGAGCTGAAGGTACACTCTGCAGTGCTAAGTTGATTGGAGGAAAGAGTGCTTTGGACTCGGTCACTTACAGACCATTTACCGTGAGCTACCAGTGAGCCAAATTAATATGAGAATACGTGCATGTGGAAGTAAGACACTGACACTTCGCAGTTTGCCAACTTCCTAAAATTCTGTTTTATTGAGGAACTAACAGTATCATTTATAGGGCTTATGATGCAGGCAAAGCATATACATTGATTGGGTGAAAAGTCCACTTTCACACAGTACACCTGAACGGAACAGAGCTGAGGTTTTCAGTCAGCTGGAGATTCCTCCCTGTCACCATTTTTTTCTTGGTGTCAGGAAAACTTCTCAGAAGTGACTCATCATGAAAGCAGAGGAATGGGGCAGCAAACAGAAATTCTTATTATTATACAGGATTTATATAGTGCCAACAGTTTGCTCAGCGCTTTACAATATAACGGGAGACAATACAGCAACAATACAGTTCAATACAAGAGGGTTAGGAGGGCCTGATCCTTGGAACTTACAATCTACGATTATTATTATTATACAGGATTTATATCGCGCCAACACTTTGCTCAATGCTTTACAATATAACGGGAGACAATACAGCAACAATACAGTTCAATACAAGAGACATGACACTCAGTGCTCTGGATTGAGACAAGTACACACTGTAGAGGGATATGTTTTGTTCACATTTCATATCTGAGGTTTACAAGCACTTTAATGACTGCAGTATGTTAAATAATCATTTTTGGGTTTAGATACACACAATTGTGACAAAAAGTAAAGTAAATTTAACAAAGAATAAAAAGAATGCATGGCCTGTATACACAGCCCTAAAATAATGGCTGCACAGCTTTGTGTGCTAATGTTGAATTGAAAGCATCAGCATGGCAGCCAGCAAACCACGTGAATCTGGAAAATCGATATTAAAGGAATGTAATGCTAATCCAGCGAGCTGCTGAGCCAGAATCGGCATCAATAGATTTCGCTGCCACACTAAGTCTTTTGTTTGACCTCAGTCAGAAAACAATAAGGGGCAGCTCTGGTTTTTGTTCTTTACATAAAGAAAATGTTTTTCTAAAAAGGCCGTATGAATCTGGAACAAAAAAGTGCAAAAACTAGAAATTCACACATCTAGTGGCCTGTACAGAACGTGTCAGTTTAGTGATGGTGGGGTGAAGTTATTTATCTTCATTACTCCATAAATACTGTACATGTATAGTAGGGGTGCTCATCCTTTTGAAGAGTGAGGGCCACTTACGTGATTTGGTAACCGGTCGCGAGCCCATAGTGAAATAAAATCGTTCAGAACTTCAATATTTTGTTTGTATTTTTAATACCATAATGAACATTTTCCTCCTGCAGACATTGAACGCTAGCAGGAGGGAAAGGTGGAGAAGCTGGATTTCAGCAGTTGCAGGAGGAAAATGGAGAGGATCAGTTACTGTGTATGCCACCCCTGCCACCCCCTCTGTCCAAGTGTAAGGGCTCATTCATGTACACTGCAGCTGATAAACTGACGTTCAGAAGCATTTCTGCATTTTTTACAGCAGCCCCTGAACTCTCCCTAATGTTTTCCTATGTGTCCATGTACACATCGTCATTTACAGGCTGTTGAGTTTACAGTCGTTTTTTTGAACGCACCAAACTTGCGTTCAGG